AGCAGCCATCTCTCATCCATTTGCAAGCCTGTACCAGGGGTTGAGATGAAGTGGAACATGTGGGAAAGTGACACATGGGGAGGAGGAAAGGAGACCTGTGAGCTGGATTTCCAACCCTGAGGCTAGACCAGTTGCCAGAGCAATGGGTGGTGTAAGGGAAAGCACTGGGGTTTGCAGGGGCTTGAGCCTTGCTGGAACATCCACCAGCCACCTTCCTGCCTTTATCCACACCTTATTCCTTTTCCTGCTGGGTTGGGATCACTCCAGCATAAAAACAACCCAGCAGAAAGCTGTGTGTGGGTTTTTGTTTGGTCTTGCTGGAGGCAGATTCTGTTTGCCATCACCAGCACTCCCTGCTGAGCCCCGAGGTGCGAGCAGCCGCCTTCAGGCGGGCAGCACAACACATCTCCTTGGAAAGGTGAGAGCCAGCCAGGACCTTCCAGGCAGGAGCAGCAAAGCTCTGTTCTCCTGTGAGAGCTTGGATGCCAGGACAGTGCTGCGGAAGTGAGGTGCAGGAGGAAGGCCACTGCTGCTCCCTGGGACAATTCCTTGGCTAATGAGCATACCAGTGTCCTTGTGTGTGTTGGCAAGAGGGAGGCAGCTGCAGCCTGGAAGGTACAGGCATTCAGGGAGGTGTCTTTGTAGGGAGCAGAGTCTGGGGTCCTGGGGAAGATGAGGAAACTGCTGCAGGGCTTTGCCAACAGAGGCTGGGGGCAACCCCGTGGGATTTCCTGGGGCTGGTGTGGCCCGCAGAGGTTTCCTTAGCAGAGATGGAGTTCCTGCTGGAAATGGCTTCTTGCTTTTGAAGCCAAAGTAGGACATCTGCAAAAACAACAAAACCTCTAAAAGAAGCAGCCAATGTTGCTTAAGTTCTGGGCAAAGCCATTAGCTGGAGGGGGAAAACCAATGTGCTACCAAAAAAGCCATATCCAGGGTTGAAATTATCCTGTCAAGGGGCAGGAGTAAAAATGCTACTGATCTCATGTTAGAGGGGACTGGAAGACCTCTTGGCAGTGCCATGATAGTAGGGTAGGCCTCCAAGGAATCCTGGTTGGTGCAAGGGGATGAGGAGCCCTCCCATAGGGCAGGACCAGGGTGGCACTGGCTGCATCTGCAGTGGGAGTCCAGATGCCTGAGGCCAGAGCGTCCTGGCTGGAGACTTGTCCCTTTGCCTCATGCAGGTAGCTAGAGTTTGAGCACCTGGAAGGGGATTGTCGCCACTGGGATGAGTCAGGGAAGGCATGTCTGATGTGGGGCTGGGTCCCATTCCTCCCTGGGTATGACTGCAAGGTCCCTGTTCACATCACATCAGTATGTTTTCCCCTGTATTTAATTCTATTTATTTATTTAACTGTGCTTTTCTTAAGCAAGCATTTCTCTTTGTCATTGTCTGCCAGCATGGTCACTTTGGCCATGTCATTTGTACCCCAGCAGCCTGGAGCTTGCTGGATCTCAAAGGGGGATGGAAAGACAAGAGGTTTGTTGTCTCCCCAGCAGCAGGTCAGCCCCAGATGCAGTGATGGACTGGGGAAACCAGGGTCTGGGACATACCAATTTCCTAGGTCTGTAGACATTCCCACAAACTCCCAATGGAGAGAAAGGAGAGGGACAAGCTGTGCCCTCTCTGCCAGCAAACCCTTTGTGCAGCTTTTCTGTTTGCTTTCCAGACCCATTTCCAGACAGACCTGTTCATGGAGCGACCCATGATAATTTCTAGATGACTCTCCCAGGGTATCCAGCCTGCTGTGTTATCAGCAATGTGCAAGTTTGCTTTCCGAGTCGTTCTGAAATCTATCACACCATGGGCCTCCCCTTCCGCCACCATTGCTGCCATCCATTACCGCCCACCTAAACTGATATTTAGTTAATTTTACACTTTGCAGAGCGAGCTGGGCATGCTCATTTGACCAGCTTTCAACAGGTCTCCTGGGACATGGAAGTCAGCCTGCTCTGTGGTGCTGTGCCCATCGATACCAGCTCTCTCTGGAAGGATGCTCAGGGAGCAAACGCATCCACCTGGGAAGTCAGTAGCAAGGCATGGTGAGAGCCGAGTGCAGGACCAGTGCTGTGGCTGCTGTGCTGTGTGGGATCCCACTGTCACGGGGACCTTGTCCCAGAGGGGACAAGGCAGAGCCTGTGCCAGCACCAGGCAGAGCTACTCTTGAGTGGGAAGGCTGAAGAGCAGGTGGATGAGCTCAGGATTAGGTGAGAAGGATGCCGTTGCTCCTCTGTATGAGTTTTGGCTGGCGCTGGGACTTTGCCCCTAATTGTACTTTTATTTGTTCTTTAATCTTGGTCACCTTATCAGAATCCTTTGAACAACCAAACACATCCCTGCTTACCTGAGGAACAGGCTTTGCTGTTCCTTTTTGATTGGTTTTGTTTGCTTGCCAAAGACTTCCAAGAGATTAGGGTGATGCCTCACAAACTTGGGCTTTGTCTTGGAGCCACTGAAGGCTGCAGCACTTGCAGGACTTGGGCACTGAAAGAACTCTATATTTTAGGGCAACTTTGACATTAGACCAGATCCCTCAGAGCCTTGTGGGATCCAGGGTCTTCTGAACCGTCCTGAGACTATCCTTGTTGTTTTCTCCAAACAAAACACCTGGTTACATGTTGCTGGGAGGACTTGCTGGTCTGTCTGCAGAAGAAACAAAAGTGGGCATCCCAAGCACAAGATGCCATGGGCCCTCCTCAGCAGAGATGGGAAGACCCCCCCCTTGTCATTAAATTTTGTCCAGTTCTGAGCTCCTCAGTACAAAAAAGACATGAAGCTCCTGGGGTGGGTCCAGAGGAGGGTGACAAAGATGATGAAGGAACTGGAGCATCTCTTACAAGGAAAGGCTGAGGGAGCTGGGCTTGTTCAGCCTTGGGAAGAGACACTGAGAGGGGACCTCACCCATGTTTGTCAGTGTCTGTAGGGAAGGGTCAGAGGTTGCACCAGGCTGTGCTCAAGGCTGCCCAGCCATGGGAAAAGAGACCATGGGCAGAAACTGATGTCCAGGGAGTTCCACCTGGACATGAGGAAGAACTTCTTCCCTGGAACAGATTGTCCAGAAAGGGTGTGGAGTCTCCCTCACTGGAGATATTCCAGAACCATCTGGACACAACTGTGTGCCATGTGCTCTGGGATGACCCTCCTGGAGCAGGGAGGTGGAACCAGATGAGCCCCTGTGGTCCCTTCCAGCCTGACCCAGTCTGTGCTCCTGTGGGTGAATTTCATGCGGTTTAGTTTGCTCCCATTGACTCCTGTCCTGTCACAGGGTACTGCTGAGAAGAGCCTGGCTTCCTGCCTTCATTCCCTCCCATCAGATGTTTATACACATCTATGAAGTCCTCCTGAGACTATTTTTCCCCAGGATAAACAACTCAAAAGCTCTCACAGCTGCTACTTGTACGAAGGATGCTCTAGACCTTCATCACCTTTGTGGCCTTGCATTGAACTGGCTCCAGTCAGTGCATCTCTCTTGTGCTGGTGAGCCCTGAGCTGGACCCAGCAGCAGCAGTGTGACCTCACCACTACTGAGCAGAGTGGGCAAGGAGGCTGCTGGAGCTCAGGAAGCTGTGTTTGACTTGGGAATGGCCAAAGATGTTTTTAGGATTCTCCAGGGCCAGTGGGAGCCCTGTGCTGCTGCATCTGAGCTGGAGGAGTGTGTAAGTGCTGGGTCCAGACCTGGCTCTGCCTCAGGCAGTGCCTGGTGCCCACAGCAAAATAGTGGAAGTGGCTTTCAGATGAAGCCTGGACAGAAAGGCCGTATTGATCGAGGGAAACTGGGTGGAGCAGGTGTTTACTGAGCAAACGCCTTTTGAAACATATCAGCAGGCAAACAGGGTGGGGATCTCATGGTCTGGTGCTGCCTCCTATTTATGGATTGCATGACAGGGTGCCCAGATAATTGTGATGCCTCACCTGGCGGAAAACCCCAACAAAATAGAGTGAAATCTAGGAGAGGTTTTATGTTTTCTAGGAAAGCTACAGCATCAACCTGTGTCTACTGAACACATACAGTTACCCCTGTCACTATAGGACAGACATTGCAGGGCTGAAGTGTGTCCAGAGAAGGGAACTGAGCTGGGGAAGGGTCTGGAGAGGGAGGGACCAGAACAGCCCTGGGCTTCTTCAGAGGAGACTCCCTAAATACGAGGCCCAGCCCGGCTGGGGCCGCTTCTCCCATGGGCAGTGCAGGCAGGTGCCCTTTGGCCAGGGCTGTGCCAGGGCTGTGCCAGCCTGGAGAGCTTCCCCAGGGATTCCAGCCCTCCACAGCACAGGGGTGTGCGGGGCCAGGAGAGGAGAGGAGGATCTGCCCCAAGCCTCCATCTCGGCTTCTTTCCTCAGCCTGGCCCTCAGAAGAGCACACACCAGCCCCTTTGGGATCTGCTCTAGTAATCTCAGGGGACTTTCCCTTTCCCCTTTCCTTTTTCCCTTTCCCTTTCATCTTCCCCTTCTGGGCTGCATCCCCATGGGGATGAGCAAAGCAGCACAGAAGCAACCAGGAATGGCCCCTCGCCTGTTACAGACCGGTTAAAGGCTATAACGTGGTTCTTTTAGATGATTACTTCGAAGGCGAGATTAAGGCACAAAACTCCAAATGTTAGGTCTCAAACAGACCATTAGCTTTATTGTAAAAATAAGTAACAGTAAAAGCGAGGGGGAGGTGGGGAGAAGAAGAGGGAGAGATAAGGAAAAGGAAAGGCTACAAAAGGAAATTGGAAAAAGGTTACCACCACCAGCGAGGGAACCGAGTGTAGTCAGCTTTAGGCAGCCAGGGAAGAACCGCCGGAGAGAAGCAGGTGGTGAGCAGCCTGGATCCAAGATGAGCAGAAGACGCAGACGCAGGCAGGTGGGACCCGAGCAGGAGGGAAGCAGGCAAGGCAGAGGCAAGCAGGACGGAGCGAGGAGTGGGGCCAGCAGCCAGCACAGGACCCTGGGCAACACCAACTGGACTGTACCAGACAACAGCGCTGGGCACTGCCCTAAATACCCCCCCGTGGGCACTCACCGGCCAGCTTGACTCCGGGCAGACCTTTCCACAGTGTCGATTGGTCAAGCAGCTGGTATCCAGGCAGGCTGGCTCTGCCAAGGCGGGAAAATGTAGCAACTTTCTGTTGGAGACCCTCCAGGGGGCCAGCAAGCAGCCCAAAATGTCCCCCAGGTGGATGAAGGCAGCCCTGCTAAAGGCTGAAGTCGGTGTCTGCCGTTTTGTTCAGTCACTGGGCTCCGGGGGGGCTCCTGGTAGCCTGCAAAACTTACACTTGGCACCTACCTCAGCTGATGGAAATAGCTTCGTTAGTGTGAGGTGGTTAAATGCCGCTTGTGCAACTTTAAACGACTTCGAAGAAGTCTTGCCCAAGGTGTTTAATTGCCTCATTAACAAGTCTGACACCTCGGCAGAATGCCCAATTACTAATTGTTCATTACACCGGTCGATGTAAAAACAAAGGAGCGAGTCAGAGATGGAATAATCTCTTACGTTCCACCCTGCAGTTTTACATTGACTGGGGGAATATGAACACAGCCCTCCTCACTGGTGGTGACAGGGGTCAGGCCGGTGGGATGGTGCCGGCGGGCCGTGAGCCCGAAGCCGGCAAGGTCTTGGGCCCACACGGTGTCAGGGGAGGACTGAGAGCCCCCAGGGAGGAGGAAAGCTGGGCAGGCCCCAAGGCTCCTGGGCCTCTTCCTTGCCAGCCCTTTGGCCAAGGCCCCGAGGCAGAGGTGGGGCTCAGCCCCTGCACAGCAATGGGGCACAGGCTGAGCCCCAGGGACACCAGAGCCAGGCGGCCTGAGCTCTTCTTCCTGCAGCGTCTGCCTGGGGCAGCCCAGCCAGGCCTGAGTCTCTGCAGGAGAGGCCAAGCCCAGGCAGAGAGGGCTCAGCCCTCTGAGGCTGCACTCACTGCAAAGGGAACAAAACATTGGCCCAGAGGACATCCTGCCCCCAAATGGAGAACTGGAAATGTCAAGAATAAAAAAGTCAGCCCTCTCCATTATTCAATAAATGTTTAGACCTCTTTACTAAAAGCATCCAGGAGTCGGGTCACCCAGTTTTCTCTCTGACAAGGGTTTGGAGGGACTGCTTGGGAAAGGGAAGCCCTGGGGCCCCAGTGCAGATGGGGGGGCTGCACTCTGGAGGGGTCGGCCTTTGGCTCTTGGCTTCCAGGGGCCACCAGGAGTCAGTGAGCCAGGCTGGGGACGAGGGGCAGGACTGGCTGGGACTGGCTCTGGTGCCTGGCCCAGAAAATGGAAGTGTCCCCATGGGGGCAGCTGGAAAAGGCCCAGGAAGTAAATGCTGCCCCAGTCCAGCCTGTGGCAGTGGTGAGTGTGCAGGGGGGAGGAGGCTGGGCCAGACGAGGGCTGGGGAAGAATGGCCAAGCCACGGGTGGGTTCTCCCCTGGCTCCAGGGCCCAGCCCCTGATGGGAGGGCCTTGGGCAGGGCCTGGTGCGACTGCAGGAATCTCGGAGCCAGCTGAAGGGACATGATTTTGGAAGGTGCATTGACAGGTCCAGCTCTCTGCAAGATAAGTCGAGAGCTCTGAGCCAGAGAGGGCATGAGAGCCAGGTACAGGCTTGGGAATTGCCAGGAGGGCTTTTGAAATGAGCGTAAGGGAAAGGGATGTCTAAGAACGAGTCCCTTAGGAGAGGGAAGTGGAGAGACTGAGTTTTGACCCCAGCACAAATGATTTGGGAAGTTGTAATAAAACAAAGCTAACTCTTGATCTGTTGAAACAGGCAGTCCTACAAGACATGTCTTAAAGGAATTTCTTACATTGGAGATTGATAAACACAAGGTCGCATTTGCCAATTTTACCCATACATTGTCAGAGGTTTGGTATGTCCATGGTGGGAGGGGTATCAACTTCCAAAGGGCTTCTTGCTGAATTTTGTTTGTGGAAATCTGTAGACCATATGCATTTAAGGCATTAGTGGTTGTTTGTAAAACTTCTTGTACGACAGATTGGTTATGGGCACAAATCAGTATATCATCCATATAATATAATATTGCCTGTGGGTACCTTTTCCTGATGGGTGACAAGATATCTGCTATGGACTGTTGACACAACGTTGGTGAGTTCTTCATTCCCCACGGAAGCACCTTCCATTGATACCTGCAGTACGGTTCTGCAACATGAACTGAAGGAACTGAAAAGGCAAACTTAGGAGAATCCTGAGAGTTAAGTAAAATATTGAAAAAGCAATCTTGGGGACTCTGTGGCTTGCAAACACTTAGTTAGGTGGGGTATGCTACTGGTTTCTTTAAAAGCAGCTCAAAAAGACACAGAGACTGCTCCAGCCAAACCTCCCGCTCCTCCTGTGAAGGAGGACGAAACTAAGGGCACAGAGTTACCCTTTGAGGAGAAGAGCGGCTGCAAGCTGCCCAAACTCCCACAATTGTGCCTTTCCACCCTCCTGAAAGAGGAATCTGACACTGACTCCGATGATTCTTCTGATTGGGAGTTAGACGAACTGGAACAAAAATTATCTCCTTCCATTAATACTCAGTGCATGCACAGAAGGATATATGCAAACAAATGGGACGATTGCAGAGAAAAAGCTTTAGCAGCAGGGGATTGGGAAGTTGTACCCACCTGCCCTGTAATATACTGACAACAAAAATCTCCTAAATATCATAACCTGTCTTATGAAATGATAGAAGATTTACAGCAGTTAGTAAGAGAAAGCGGTATCTCTTCACCCCGTGTGTAGTCCTTTTTAGAAATGTTAAGTACTTCTTATGTGTTAGTTCATGCCCCCCCCCTCAAAGGAATATGGCCCAAAATGCTTTGTCTGCGACCTCATTCCAGCTACCACAGGGAACCCCAGCCTGGATTTGGCCTCAAGCAAATCAATAACCCTGACATCCACTGAAATAGCCCCCATACCTACTGGAATGTGGGGACCCTTAGGGGAAGGAATCCACACACTTTTAATTGGCAGATCATCAACAACAAACTTGGGTTTGTTTGTTTTACCGGGAGTAATCGATTCAAATTACTATGGAGAAATACAAATTTTGATTTGGACGCCGGTACCACCTTGTTATGTTCCTGAGGGGCAAAAACTCGCCTAGTTAATTCTCCGCTTTCCTGCCCAGAGCTGAGGAAAATGTGACAGAATATTAATAAATCACCTTTGCTGAGAGTAGTCGTCACCCCAGTCCCTCAGGCTTTGCAGGAGTTTGTAGGGAACAGACCCAAATTCGAATCCTACCTCTAAATTTCTTACAGGTTTTGTTAAGAGATGCTGGACAGGAAATCACTCAACAGAATTCCAAGACTGCACAAGGAATAACAGGAGAGTTTCCATGGAGTACAGAAGTTCCTTTTTAGCCTCCTCAGTCTGGGGCTGCAGGAGCCCATCTTTGCAGCCAAGGGCCCCAGGGTTCCCAGGGCCACCCCGGTCTCTCCCAACCCCGACCCCGAGTGACCTTTCTCAGCCCTGAGTCCGTCCAGCACTGACAGAGCTGCTGGGAGCTGCAATTCTCCCTGCTCCCTCTGCCTCCCTGCCTGGAAAACACCCCTCCTGCACTCCCTCCTCCTCCTTACCTCCTGCAAAAGAGGAGCTGCAACCTCCCGGATCCTTCAGCTGGATGCTCCCGGCCGAGGGAGCTGTGGGGACTGTGCCGAGGGCAGGTGACACAGACCGCGGGTCACAGCAACGCTGAGCCTCCTCAGGGCCGGGCTCTTCTCTCTGCGGGGCACCCGCCAGCCTGGCAGGGACACTTCTGCTCTGCACGGGAGCAGAGAGGGACAGCCCCGCAGCGGGCTGGGCCAGCACAGCCCCCAGCCCTGCCCCGCGTCCCGCGGCTGCCCGGCCCTGCGGCCGGAGCGGCCCCACAGAGCCCCGGCACAGCCCAGCTCGGGGCCGCCGCCCGCCCTCCTCCCGCCGGGGGAGCTCCCGGCAGCCTTAGCGTACGCCCTGGGAGTTGGCTTCTTTATTTTACTTAATTTTCTTTTTACCTAATTTTCTTTTTTAATGTATTTTTAGTATATTTCTTATTGCATTTTTAAATTCTGTTACTATTCTCTTTAAAAGCCCGTGTAAGGCGGCCACGCCTCCCCCCGCCCGGAAGCCCCGCCTGCCCTCCCCGGCGGCCGAGCGGTTCAGGCGCCGGCCTGGGGAACGCGTCGTCCTCCAGAGCCGCAGGTTCGAATCCCGGCCCCGGCCCCGGTGGATAAGGCCGTGAGCGGCACTGCAGCCGCGCGCCCTCCCCCCCAGCCGAAGTCGTATTTATTTTTAATTTTGTTGGTTTGTGTTGTTTTGGGTTTTTTTTTTTGTTTGGTTGGTTTTGTTTTCTTTTTTTTTTTTTTTTTTTTTTGTTTTTTTTGTTTTTTTTTTTTAGTATTTTAAATTTTATGATTTTCCTTAAAGGCTGTGTGAGGCAGCCACGCCCCCCACGCCCGGTGGGAGGGAGCGCAAAAAGGGAGGAGTGAGACACCCTGGACCCCCAAAATTGGGGGGGAGGGTGTTATTGGGGACTCCCCTTCCCCTCCTCCCCACTTTGGTCCATCATCCGTGTTGAAGACAGAGGCAAAGAAAGGGTTAAACACCTCTGCCTTGTCCATACCCCTGTTTTGGAGGTGACCATCCCCATCGTGGCACAGGCAGAGGTATTTTTATACTGCCTATTGCCACCCAAATTAGACCAGTGAGAATTCATATAAAAACTCACCGAACCAGAACTGTACTCTAAGGAGAACTTAAAATATCAAGTACACAAGGTCAGAGTAAAGATATCCTTCAGTATCATTCACAATAAAATTAGAAATCCAAGTCTTGAGTGGGTTTCAAATAAATAATCATTTTGAGAAAGTGCTTCCATATAAAGGGAGCTCTCAAGGCAGCAGAGCAGTTTGCAATTCCCCCTGCTAACACATCCCCACCAAGAGAATGTACAGTGGGCACTGCCCACTGGGGAAACAATCACGACACAGGGCACACATGCCAGCTTCCATGAAACCCCTGAACAGGAAATGGGGGAGAAGCAAATGAAGGCATGTGCTGCCTTCTAAAGCGCCACCCTTTTTCCTTTTTACCAACATAACACAAATGGGAATGAAAGTCATGTCTGCTTCTAAAATCCACTCTCAGCTCCCAAGACTAACACAGCACTGCTCCGACACAGAGAACGTTCCTCAAACTGACACTGCAGCACAATGTATCATCCATCCCCTCCCAGCTGCTCTCTGATCCCACTTGAGCCTTTAAATTCCTCTCCAGTAACTGCAGGGGGAACCCAGAAAGCTTAAAGACAGCTAAAGGTTGTTGTTTCTTGTAGATCCTGGCCCAATGTGCTGAGAAGAACCAAGATGAAACACAGCATTTTTAGATGCTGGGATCTTGCTCTGAGAAGGAGTTCACAGATCCCACTCTGAGGAATGCTACATTTAGGTTAAAAGTGACAGAGAACAGGTATTATGGGATTAGCCAAGGGAGAGGAGGTACCAGGCTCCGAGAGGCCTGCCTGCCTTTGGTATGTTCTGTTCTAATGAAAGATAACAAAAAGGTCAGCTTCGTAGTCATAAATTAGACAGGATGGACATCTGGGGGGGGAAGAAGAGCTGAGTCAAGGGGTTTTTAGCAAGACCTTAGCACATAGTCAGGAAGAGCTGAAAAGTTCATTGGCAATGAGGAAAAGAAAAATGACCCTCATGAGGCTGAAGAGTTGGAAGGACCCCCAGGAACCTCCCCAAAAGGAGATGACTCCGCCTCAAGCTCCGCCTGAACCCTGCCTAATATGAATATTATCACTAGATGTTGTAATTTTAATGAATATTCACGTGAAATATTGTAATCCCTCACCAAGACTGTAAGAATTGCCTGCCTTTTCACTGAAAACTTTACAGCTATTTTGTCCCATGAACTGGTAGCTCTCCAACGTTGCATAAAATAAATACCTTTGCTGCTTAAAGACCAAATTCTGTCTCTGAGCAGTTATTTCCTGCTGGTTTTGGCAACAAAGACATGACAGACCTCAAGGTGTAGAGTTACCAGCAAAACATATGGTGTCCTCTGACACTCAAATAAAACCTTCCAAAAGTCAAAATTCTTCCTCAAAGTGTAGATTTGCCTTTCTTAAACAATTCCAATTATTCTGCTGTAAAAATACACCTGATGTGAAATTTCTCACATCAGAGAAAGATTTCACAATTCAGAGAGAACAAGAAAAAAATCAACAATAAATTTGCCATAAAACTGCTTGCCAGAGAGTTACTGTAAAATTGTTTTTGTTCAGTAATATTAAAAAGTATTCAATATTCAAAATCTTTTCTCTCTGCAGATAGGGCAGGGCAGTCTTCCACTCTTTGTCCTTTAATTCAACATGCAATAGCTCTGTGCTAAGCACTGCACTACTCACCAGATAAGTTGTTTCTTCTGCATTTCTAACATACCTGAAAAAGGTTCTGTCTCTTGCTGCTGTGAGTTAATATAAGAATTTACTATGTAATACTGCTGTGTACCTACTGAATAAATATTACAGGAGTTAAAGGAGTTTTTCTACTGCTAGCTGGGCTTTGGCAAAACAGGAGCTGGGCCAACATACACTAGAGACTTCACACATTTGAGTAGGGGACACTGCAATGTTTAACAGATATAGAATAAAATAAATCTGAGATTACTAAAACTCTCAGCACACAGGGTTCCCAGGTTGTTCTGAACACAGAAGCAAGGTAATCAGTTTTCAAGGAAGGCCACATAGTCAGTCAATCTGGCCAACTGCTGTTCATTGGGAATTGGTGGGACCGCAGCAGGTTCTAAAAAGAGAAAACAAATGCATCATTCATGAAATTTAGGAAGCAAATCCACCAGCAATACCATCCATCACAACAGTAAGGAAAAAATTAAATGCATCAGACTGCTGAACAGCTTCCTGGGGGCACACCTTAACTGTATCTTCTACCTGCACAGCTCTAGCTGACAGGAGTTTGCTGTTATCTGTAACATTCAGTAGTCCAAGAGCTACCAACAGCAAAAACTGCTGCAACAAGTCCCATCTGTCAGCAGCCTCCAGAATTTTTTTGCACATAATGAAGTGTGAATAATGAAGCCTGACAGTACTTTCACCTGACAAAAATGCTCCTGGTGCTCTTTGGTGGCTCCTTTCCTTACAAGCTGCCATTCTAAAGACACCAAACAAATCTACTGGGGGATCTGACAAACAAAACACACAGGACTGCACGGGCTGCAGGAGAATGAGGGCACATGCAGAGCCTTAGATAAGTGCCAGCTGACCTGAGATCTTGGGTGAACAACAGGTTGGAAGGCAGGTGACTAAGGCCAGGGACATAAATTAGGAATTAAAAAGCAGATATAAACAACAGTAGCAGGAAAATTTGCATTTACTCTTCCTGCAGAGTCATCAGGCCAGCATTCAGAACACAGTGAGAGCATCCACACTGCTTAGGGCTGCAATTGCATGTCAGAGGAGGCTGACAATCCAGTGGACGTTTTCAAAAAGCAAGTTCCTGGAATTAAATCTCTATACTTAAGACACTTTGGCAACTGCTAGACACAGGAAGCCACCTATTCAGACCTGCTGTCACTGTCTTGGGAACAAGAGAAAACAGCTTTTTGAGAATCCAACATAATATCTTCCATCTCAATCTATAGTTGAGCTCTGAGGAAAACCAGAAAATCGCTGTTTCTGCAGGGGAGAAGGACTTCAGAAGTCCCACATTATGCAATTTTAGCCAAAATTGTTTTGGTTTACAGAGGCTGTTCTACCCCTGCTTTGGAATCTGCTCCCTCCTTCAGCTATGGAAGTGGGAATCTCAGCAATCTCAGGTACTTCTTACAACGTGAGGGAAAGAAGACAGAGGGATAAATGCTCCTGTTTACCCAACACCTGATTGGGGTGATTTGTTTGGGTTTTTTGAGAGGGCAGTGACAACATTCACTTCTCTAGAACTTAATTCCCACTTTGTGGTGCTGGTAACAATCCTTAAATCCATCTAAATGCACATTTACTATATATAAACAAAAATACCTGATGAAGGAATAAATCTCTTCAAGGAAGCTTCCAGCACACCTGAAGAAAAACACATGGAAGTTAGTCCAGTGGAACAATTTTAAACAGTTCTATACAGCAAGTCAAAACTGGGTTCAAAGGTAATGAAAATCAAACCTGTTTGTTTATCACACTTTATCACATAGATAAAAAGCAGAATACCCAAGCCTTAGCTGCTTCAAAACAGATTACAGTCTCCCACCCTCCTTCTTTTGCCTCAGCAGTAGTTCCTGCACTCAGTTTTGAAAAAAAAAAAAAAATCCCCCACATATAAGTAGTTCCCAGTACTTGTAAGCTCTGCCTAGTTTGCAACCAGTTCATAGAAAACCCCACCTGATCACATACAAAAGCTCAGGGCTCTGGTTGGATTTGTGCTCTGAGGAATAACTTTCAACACCTTGCCTGGCACATCTTTATTATGCTGTTCTGAGCTCTGAACACCTAAAAACTGCCCCTACAAACAGTGTATTTTCTTAGCCTAATAGGTCTGGCCCTTTTAGATATGCTGGGATTTGGCTCCTTCTTCCAGAGCTGCACAGAGCAGTTTAAGACCAGTCATTCCATACTGCTTTCATAGCTTAATATTTATTTTTGCCTCAGCCAAACACAGATAAAGCTTTAGCAAAAAAAAAAAAAAGCCAAGTATTTCTGCAGATCAAGCTTTGCACAAACAGAAATTCTGTCATCAGCAGAATGACAGTGAAGAAAAGATCCAGCAGAATAAATTTTAAAAGCAAAGGAAATTACACCAACAGCTAGAGCTCCTCAGAAGACAAGGATTCACTCAATCCCTGCCCAAAGAAGTTCTAATTCTCCTGAAAGAATTCTCAGGTTCAAAATAGTGTATTTTTTACTCAACTTTCTTAGATTAAGAGATGTCATTGCAGGTCACCCAGCTGATGTGGCACTGAGTCAGAGCCAGCAGCAGAGGAGCAGGAGCAATCACAGTGTATCCTGACAGCTTTTGTTTAAAAAAGTTCATGTGAGGATGTAGTTTAATCCAAACTACTCAGAAGTCCAAACCAGACCCACTACTTTGTACTTCCTTACATTTATACATGCCCCATGTTTACAAGCAGCATTAGCCTCCAAAAAATATCTAACAGAATTCTGGGCGAAGTTTTAATTAAAAACTGCCACCTAATTCCTCGAAAAGGCTGAACCCAAGGTTTCATGGAATAACAGCTCCACCTACCTGGCTTTTTAGGCATCACCATGCGAGTTGCAAAGTCTGCTTGCCAGCCCTGCTCTAGCACACCTGGAAAAGCATTTTTACACTTGTAAGAACAGTCTTCTTATGTGATTGCTAGACATGCAAAACAAAGATGTACATTAAGGCCAGTAGAAAAGTATCTCGGGTCACTGCCTCTGTGCCATAACTCCAATACAGATTTCTTACTACAATACTTATATTTAAACATGCAGTTCAACAAATAACATCGTGAAAGCACACGGAATTAGCTTCATGTTTCACTCTTCCCTCACCATGGAATTGTTTTAACATCTAGAAGGGGAGAATAGACAATAACCAGTGGCAAATAATTTAAAAAAAATACAACCACTATCCAGAATAAAGACATTATTTCTATGCCCCATCACTTGTCTTTGTAACAGTCTCTGAATCTGTATACATGTTTTTATTAATCATCACTTAGAGCTCTCTGATCTCAATCACCCATACAAAAACTACTCAGGGAATAGATGCCAAGTACCTTTCACAGCTTCTTCTACGGGAAGTCCAACAAAAGCTGCAAAATCATCTGCAACTATTGATGTATAAGCCTGAGAAACCAGTGCAAAGGCTCGTTTCCTGGTGGCATCTAAGGACAGAGAAACACTGTAAGCAGATGGAGACTCATCTCCACAGGTAGGAAACCTGAGAACGTTTTCCCAATTCTGATGCCTTTGGAAAACCACTACCAGCCTCAAAGTGAGCACTGCAGAAGTTCCCCCTCCCCTCCCACACTTCACTGTCGTACTACGGTCAGCAGCCAGAGACAACAACTTGCTCTGCCAGGACAAAACCCCTCTGAGCCCACAATGACCTCCAAATGCAGGTCTTGGGCACTCCCACCAGTACACAAACCACTTCAGGAAACCCTGCATCTGAGGCATTCTCCACTTGCAATAGGCTTGTGTGTCAAACAGTTCAGAAGCAGAAAAAAAAAATCTACTACAACAATTAATTAAATTGTTAATGGCATCTAAAAATCAGTTGTTTCTAAAGCTACAGAGAATTTGTTATTGCAGAATACCTCAGAAGGCTTCTTAGCAGTCTGTGCAGCCCTCTGGTAGCAAGAATTTGCATGTTACTGTTTCACAGTCTTTAAAACTGTCAAAACGTTTGTCTCAAGTCACAGGTAACGGATAAACCTTTTTGTAAGTGTCAGAAGGTTCTGAAATGCCAAGTCACATTCCCTAAATTACTGCTTAGAAGTCTGATAAAACTGGGTAACTAATGGTCAGTTTTGCTGTTACAGAACAAACCACGTGGTTTATGAAATTCCAGTATGAAAGAATATACAATCACAGACACAACCCTAATAAAAACAATTTAGTTTGTTGCTACCAGGTATTGTCACGAGATTTTTATTTACATCTGATATCTAAAATCCTTTCGGGAAAACCTACAAAAATTTGGCAACAGTTCTGATTTTTCATAACTAGTCATTTGTCTATTTTGTCTCTGTGTTTGAGCACACAGGAATCATTTTGGGCAATTCCCTGCTGCCCACACAAGTCCATTTTGTACCTCTGAGTGCTTCCATGATTGGCTGGATGGTCTCAGACCACTGATGTGCACTGATTGTTGAATAGATTCCTGGGAAGTCTCTCTGCCAGATTCTCTGTCCCACTGACCAAACTGCACCAAGTTCAGCATTTGCCTGTTGTGACAAAAAAAACCCCTCCCAGGTGTTAATCCAGAAGAATGTCTTCTCTACAATGGTCATAGCTATAAACCCATTTCCACTTCCAGGTTTTCACACAGTGTTGCTGTGCACTAAATACAGCAGGATTCTGAGTTAACTTTGGTCCAGATACCATTGATTCAGCTGATGTAACTACTTTTCTCTTTAAAGAAAGTTATTCCAGAACTATCTCTCTGTCCCACCTTGACCGTGAGGTTTCTTAAACAAGGCTACAGAACAGTTGTTTTCTTGTAAAATGTGTGATTTCAAATTAAAAATCTAACAACAGAGGAGTCTGGAAGCATTTCTGGTGCTATATTTAGCTGAATCCTCCAAACATATCTTTGATCCAGATTAAGTGGAAAACAAATGCTTTCAGAAAGTTTATCCAGTTGGAGATGCAACTTATCTGAAGTCACTCTGTCCTGCCCAAGGTTTTCTGTCCCCTCCTGTGGAATGTGCCCCATCCCAGAGTTGGATCCATTGCTTTTCCCCAGCTGACCACCCTTTATCAGGAGACTTCCTACTATAAAGTCTACAGATTGACTGAACTCTACTGCAGCAGATTCCTTGTGAAGGGAAAGAGGGAACAGACAAGGAGATCTTAAAGCCCAGCACACTGGGTGAGCTGTTCCCAGCACAGAACCGAGCCCGAGGCTACTCACAAACAGAGTTCTCAGGTCAAAACTCACCATTTGCAAGCTTACATGAAACTATGACAGCACCAAAAGGCAGCTGATGAAGCACTTACAGATTTGATGGCAGGAGGTATTCTTTTCCAGAGATACCGTGCGTTATTCCTAAAAAAAAATGAAGTTAAAATAATTCTCAGACACCAAATGCTTCCTGCAAGGAAACACCAAAAGGTCTGTTCTGATCTGTCATGAACAGTCTCAGTGCTTTGAAACAGTTCTTCTAGGCAGGAATATTTTACACTGAAGAGGAAAAGCAAAGCTACTCTCCAGCAGACAACACGACTCAAGTAACACAGCAAACAGTTCATTAATGGCCTCATTTAGCCAGTTTGGGAGAGGTTTTTCATTTGAGTGCAGCATTTCTCAGAAGTTAGGTTTGCCACACACATTCTGGGGATTGGGACATATGAAACATTTAGTAATTGTTCTCTGTAGAGCACAGAAGCCAAACTGAAATGGTTACGAGTTCTAAAATTTAAAACGTTAAATAAAGAAAAAGACTCATTGCTTTTCATTAAAGCACAATTCTAAAACTTCACACTTGTAAAACCTCAAATTCCTCTGAACCAAGGTTATCTGCATTAAATATTCAGTATCAGCCTTCAGGGAATTTGCCCTGGAAGAATACACATCTACAATCCAGGAAAACACTCCAATCTTGGAATTCCCCACACCACTGCTTCCTTTGGGGCTTGGTAAGCAAATGTGGCAGTGACATTTTTTCTGCTTGAATAAATAATCAGTAATTTCTCACTAAAATCCCAAGTGCAGTGAATCCAGTTCATACAGGGATGTGGCAATCCCATACCAGATCAAACTCACAGGATCTCTGCTTCCTGCAGATTTAGCTCCTTCAAGCCAACAGTATCCCTCATTTTTAACATGGACAGTCCAGAGTTATCCTGCTGGAATTTAAACCCTCAAAACAAATTCAGCCTTGAACAGCTATAAATCAAAACACTGAAATGTTTAACACTGCCCAAAGCAGCCAACTTCACTGTTTAAGGAATTTTAATCCTAAATGTCCCTACAGTTCAAAAGGGTGGGGAGGACCAAACAAAGGAGAATAATTTCCCGGTCAGATTGAGGGGTCAAAGAGACTTAATCCCATGAATATCACTCTTTCCTTTTAAACACAGCACTGCCCACTGGCATTTTGTTACTCACACAACCAATTCCTCACAATCTGGCAACTGCAGCTCAAGGTACTGGTGACAAACCCCGGGACTAAAGGCACAGGTGGAGAGAAGCCACTCACATGTCATTGTGCAGCAGGTACAAAGCCAGAAGCTGGCCATAAACAAGGGGGGTTGCAATTCCTCCAGGAGCCTAAAAACAAACACAAATCGTTCTGTTACACATTTTTAGAGCAGTAGGATACAAAACAGAGCAGGAAGCCAAGTTTCATGAAAACTGAACACTCCAAGACAACCGATTGGGGTTTTTTTTTCCAAATCACATCATAGGTCTGGGCAATTTTTTTTATATCAATGCAGTTGTATTTTACAACGAAGCTTCAGGCTGCCCAAACCACGTACCAGCCACTGCTCTGAAGCTTGGGAATGGGGCAGAAGGGAAGTCCATTTACAGGAATGTGGGGAATCAGAACCAGCCCTCCCTCCCAGGGAGTGCTGGGAGCACACCCAGTGCCACAGTGCCCTCAGGCACAGCTGGCAGAGAACAGCTGTACCCTGTGCTCCTCCAAAGGATGGGAATGCACCTTCACAGCTCCTGGCTGGAAGGGGCAGCCATACTCAACTCTCCCACCCCCACAAGGCACTCTCCTGCTCCTCTCGGCCCAGGTGCCCATCACCTGAGGCAGCAGCAGCTCCTGCTTCCAGCACAATTCCCTCCAGGTCCACAGCACTCCCCACAGAACTCAGGGCTACCAGGAGGCTGCAGCACCACGCTGGGCACACGAGAGGCACCTAGGCTCAGCACAGGAACAGCAGCTGGAGCTGGATGCTGCACCCCTGGAACCAGGGACCTTTTCCACTGCAGGATGGAATTTCCACTGCACAGCTCTGTGCCCAGCACCAAAGTTCTGCTGGCGCCCGGGATCACACACAGGATCACCCGCTTCCCTCCACTTGCTGAGGCAGCCAGATCTAAACTCGGAATCGCAAGAGCTCCCAGAGAGCGAAATTCGCAGCCCACCCTTCTTTCAGATCACTGCAGCGGCATGTGTGAGCTCCACGTATAGACAAGCACTGGGAACTCCGCCCAAGGATAAATCTCTCTGGATGCCACGCGGGAAGAGCCTGTGCCGTGCCCGTGGTGCCACTTCTGCAGCCCCGGCTGCTGCCTGGAGCCCCGACAGTGCCCGCAGCAATTGGACGCTGCTCGGGCAACAGAATTATACTGAAATGCACTAATTTGCCTGAAACTCGAGAGTTTCTCGAGGGCTTTCTGGCGAGCCCAGGGGACGATTCTGAACACTGTGCCCTGCGCACCTCACACACACACACTCCCCACACCCCCCTACACACCCCCAGCCCCAGGCCCTGCCCACCCTACTCCCCGTGCTCCTGCACCTCCAGCTCCCGAGTCTCGCACTGCTCCAGGAGCCTCCTGAAGCTCTCGGCGCTCTCGGCCGCCACCGCCACCGGCATCTTCCCGCGACGTCACTTCCGCTCCCACCCCCAGGGACTTCCGCCCGGCGCTCTGTGCGCGGGGACCGCAGGGCGGCCGAGCGGGGGCGTGGCCAGGGAAATGGGCGTGGCCAAGGGGAGGGGCGCCCTGAGGGCGGTGCGCGCCGGGCGGCTGCGGTTTTTCGGGGTCGCGCAGATTAATCCTTTTTAAACCCCGTTATTTCTGCGAAATAAGCAGAATTCCAGTGTCATAAACGTAATTACTTTCAGTTTTCCATCTGTATACGTCGCCTATTGCGGGATGTATGAGATACGTGCTCCTATCCCGTATTTCACATGACATGCGATTAAGGGATACACTTTAGGGAGAGGAAGTGCTTTTCCAGCTTTTCCAGCTTTGTGCCTGTTTGTGATGGGTTTTAAAACTAGTTTTACAGTGGCAGTTCTCCATCCTTGTTCCCCATAAAACCCCCTGCCATGCAGAGCAAACAGCGCGGCCGGAGAGACCACAGAATCATGGAATGTCCTGAGCTGGACGGGACCCACAAGGACCATTGAGTCCAACTCCTGGCGCTGCACAGGACACGCCAACAATCCCTCCCTGTCCCTGAGAGCGTTGTCCAAACAGTCTTTGAGCTTGGGCAGCAGTGACTGCACAGCCCTGCCCGAGGAGCCCAGCGCCCTGCCCGTGGTGGCAGCAGCTCTGCGGGCCCAGAGCTCTGGCTCAGAGGGGTGTCGGCCACAGCCCTGTAGCCTGGGCAGCCGCGGGGGCCCGGACTGGCTGCCAGCCCTGCCTGTGCCACTGCCCCTGGCCGGCAGCACCCGGCGGACGTGCCCCGGCAGGGCCCCCTTCCCCTGCTTGTCCCCCTTCCCCTGCTTGTCCCCAGCCAGGCCAGCCTGGCCACCTTGGGGGTGTGCCCACCCTGCTGCTGAGGCCTCCAGGGCTTCTGCCACAGTGATGGGAGTTGCCTCGAGAAAGCACCAGAGCAGCCAGGTGGCAGGGAAGGAGGTGGCTGCCTGGGGCTGCTTATGGCCTCTGCCCCCCAGTTCCTCAGGGGCTTTTTTCCCGCTCTATTAGTTCCATCACTGCAATGAAGAGAACCATGGAGAGCTCCTGCACGCTGCTGTGGTCCTGGTGGAAAGAAAGAGGAAAAGACCTCAGCACCAGCTTCTCCACGCCCACGTGGGCACAGGCCTCAAAATCCACAGGGCACAAAGTTTCCCGGCAGTACCCAGAGCCCATGGGGGGGGAGCACAGAGACGTTTTGAAACAGCGGCCTGAGCACCTCAGCCAGCTGCAGGCCAGTGCAGATGGATATTAGGATGTATTTCCTGTTGAACCTGTTCTGGAGCTGTGTCTGGAGCCTGTTCTGGAGCACATTTGTGAACACAGAGAGGGTCAACCTAACCACATCTCTGTCTGCATCCTGCAGTAGCTCCACAAGGCTTTCACTCAGGCTCCAAACAAATGCTCTTGTCCTGTGAGGAACACAGTGCTGTGCTGTGAAGCCATGAATGGCTGCACTGCCAACACTGTTCTGGTGGTGCAGCCCCACGCTGCTGTCACGGGGCCCACAGGCCAAAGGCGTGTCCCCCAGAGGATTCAGGCAGCTGAACGGGGAGGAGGAGAGCTGGGAGCAGCTGCCACAGTTGCCAAAACCCAGCCAAGTCCAAGTGACTGCGTTGCACAGCCGCACGCTGCTGGCACAGCTTCAACCAGCTGCTCCCTTCTCATCCTCGAGGGATCCTTGCTGAGCACCACGAGGACTCTGAGCACCAGGTGATGCCGCTATGTGCTACACAACTTCCTAGAAAGGATCTGCAGGACCCTGTCACCGCATTCTCTCGTGTCCAGGCAGCGCAGAACCTGAAAGGCAGGGAGCAGTGACGGGGTGCCCGGCCGGCAGGAGCCCAGACCCGCACAGGGCTGTGCCCAGGCAGCAGCACAGCGTGCAGGCACCGTCCCGGGCAGCTGCGGCTGCGAGAGGGCAGAGAGGTGGAGGCAGCTCGGCGAGGCAGCGGTGGCCGTCAGGCTCCCCAGGGAACGCCATGGCAGGGAGTTCCCAGGGTGGCTCTTCCTTACTCAGCAGCTCCAGCAGGTGAAATGGGATCCCCCTTCCCCGCTCCCCTTGCCCTCTATGCGGGCGCGGCCCAAATGACCCCAGGACCGCCCCCGCGACCCCACCCGCCCTGGGCAACCGCGCCGAGCGCTGGTTCTTTGCCTGCGGTACCGCTCTCTCATCAGCAGGCGGCACCGGAGAGTCATTAAGGTCAGTGCGCATGCGCCTTTCTGTCGGCGGGGAGCCCTTACTGACCATACGTCATCATCATGGCTGGGCTTCGCGAACGGAGATTTGGGAAGGGCTCTACCCACGTTTGTTACAAGAGCGTTGGTGGCTAAAAATGCGGTTAAGGCCTTCGAGCCTGCACAATGGATTTTTTAGGTGAGACAGAGTGTGCGCTGAACTAAACCCGCCCTTTAATCCTAAGGTTCATCTGCCAGGGCCGAGTAAGCTTGAACGGTGGCAGCGAGGTCCTCAGGACGTAGGTTTGTTTAGAGTGACCTTCTCTTAGATGGATGGCCTTACAGGGCTGACGAGCTCCATCTGCCCGAGTTTAGAGTTGTATTCCGGGGCTCCCCTCTCAACTCCCACGATGGCACTGTCCGCACAGGCGAAGCTCCCATTCTCTCGCTCCTTTCCGCGCCCGGGGCCGTGAAGACTGACTACACATGTGCGAATGGTCACCATTTTGCCCTTTCTTACCCCGTGACAGATCCTTCGTTTTTGATAGTGCGCATGCGCTAACCTGCCGCTACTTTGTCCTGGCGTATCACGTGACGTTGGGGCTCAGTGGAGCGACTGCGCATGTGCTGCAGTACTGCATTGAGTCGGCAGGTGTCGCCAGGGAGTCTCGCGCATGCGCAGTGCCGCGCCGTCCCGGCCGGGCGGCAGCGGCGATTCCCGGCCCGCCCAGGGCGCGGACGGAGGGAGGACAGGGAGAGGGCCGGGAAAACTCCCCGGTGCGCAGAGCTTTTTCTGCCGCCTTCAGAGCGGGCACATCTTCTCACATTTTCAAGCCCTTTGGTTTTTCGTTTATATATTCAAAAGTCACATTTGTATTTTTCAAATGCTAGAAACTTTAAAAGTTTTAGTATTTTACACACACACCCACACACACCCTTCCTATGAATTTTCAGGCGTTTTTGGACTGTAACCTTCCTTACTGGAGGATCCCACCTGATCCTCTTGATTCCCCACTCATCTTCTTTGAGGGGGGTGAGAGGAAATTCTGAGGTAAAAGTTCATCTTTTAGGGGTCTGGGGGCAGATCTTGGGGTGAAAAGGGTAAATTTGGCAGTGCAGGACGAAATCTTGAGGTAAAAGGGGTAGATATTGAGGTAAAAATGCAGCTATGGGGGTGAAAATGCAAATTTTGGGGAGTGGGAGAACATTTCTAAGGTAAAAAATCAGATTTTGGTGCCTGGGTGGAGATTCTGGGGTAAAATGGCAGAACTGGGGTAAAAGGGGCAGACTGGGGAGCCAGAGGGGTTATTTTGAGATGGAAAAGACAGATGTGGGGTGACAATATCAGATTTTGGTGTCTGGGTGGAGATTTTGGGGTGAAAGGGGCAGATTTTGAGGTGAAAAGGGCAAATTTGGGGTGAAAAGGGCAGATTTTGATGCCTTGAGGGAGATCTAGAGGTTGAAGAGGCAAATATCGGGGTGGACAATGTAGATTTGGGGTGAAAATGTCAGGTTTTAGGGGCTGGGGCAGATTTGAGACTAAAAAAGCTGATTTTGATGCCTGGAGGGAGATTTTGGGACAGAAATGGGCAAATTTGATGCAAAGACAGTCAGATTTGGGGTGAAAGGGTCAGATATATGGGTCAAAAAGGCAAAATCAGGGTGAAAAGTAGCAGACTGGGGATGAAAAGGGGCTGATATTGTGTAAAAATGGCAGATTTGGGGCGAAAAGGGCAGATTTTTGGGTCTGGAGTCAGATTTGGGATTTAAAAGGCTGATTTTGCTGTCTGGAGGGAGAATTCGGGGTGAAAATCGCAGATTTTGGGGTGAAAAGGTCTGATTTGGGGTGAAAGGGGCCAATCTGGGGGGGAAAGCTGCAAATTTGGGGTGAAAAGCGCTGGGTTTGAGGGCCCACACGTGGTGGGGAAGAGAGGGGCCCTGAGAGTGGCTCAGCTGATGAGAGCCTGGTGCTGGTGACACCAAGGCTTCGATCCCATATGGGCCTTGCATTTGGGACTGGACTCGGTGGTCCTTGTAGGTCCCTTCCAACCCAGAATATTCTGTGATTCTCCTTCACCCCGTCATTGCTCTCCCAGTGACATTGGGTTGTCCCAAAAGACACCATCACCCCCCCCAGGCTCCAACCCCCCCCTTTTTTGCTCACCCCTAAAGAAGGCACAAAACGAGTCAAACTGCCCTGAACAGCAGCACGTTGCTTTAATAATGCCTTTGGCAAATGTACATTCTCCCCCCAAAAAGGGGGCTCTGCTGGAAAACTGATGGCAGGAAAGCCCCTCAAAGGGCTGAAGTCCTCCCCGGCTCCTGTCCCACAGGCTGGCAGCTGCCCCGAGGCACAGGGGCAGTGCTCGGACAGTGCCTCGCCTCCCACTCAGGCTCCTGAGCTCCAGCAGTGCCAGGAGATGTCTCCTCCCTTCCCCAGGGCGCTGCTGCAGGGACATCCCCCTGGGATGGCTGCAGGACAGGCTGCACCGGGACGGCAGTCTGGGCTCCCAGACCCACCCAACAGCTCCAGCCCTCGTGTGGCTGCTGCTCCTCCCGCTCAGCCAGCAGGGCTGAGAGAGGGAAAACTTACAGAGGGAACTGGAAAACCCACCCCAAATCTCAGGAACTTTCTTTCTGCTAAAATCTTGTGCCTGCATTTACATACCTCTGAGAAAAACACTCCCACTGGAGAAGTCCTGGATTTTCCTTTGGCATTCAGTGAAGTGGCACAGCTCAAACTGATGCCATTAAATTGTCCATTTCCAAAATCCAGGTTGTCCTTTGCCGTGGGGTTTTTGCC